AGTTTTATTCTTTCTTTGTTTCTTTGATGGCCTGGACCTCAATTAAATTACGTGGAGATTTTCTCATGAGGCGTGGCTAAGCTTTTCTAGTCAAGGGGACAACTGACGATTTGGTTCGACAATTACTGTGAGATCGAATCTGTTTTAATTATTTTCTTCATTTGTTGGTATTTATATGTTCCTTGATTTTAATTGTTATGGCCTTGTGTATGATTGATTAGTGCGTAATAATTAATTATTCATATAGGGTATTTTTTTACTAAATAGGGGTAATTGAATCCGTAATTGTTCATTATCTCTACCTCAGTAGCAACTGGCGTAATTGGATTTATGTCAGGAGAGCATATGATCTAATTTAAACAAACCCTCGTAGCGTGTTTGTTGGTTAGGATTGGGCCTTTCTAATTATTAATGCAATCTAGAAATTAAATCCTACGGTCGTACCTAGGGTTATTTTTGGGTTAGAGAAATAGCTAACGGTCGTACCTTAACTATCGAGAAATTAAGGAAGGGTTGGTTGTTTATCGCGTGCATGACAACTATAACTAATCTATTACTAAATATTGGAATTATTTCTGCATCAATGATCAGTGCATGAACCATTTCTGAAGTATACCCTTGGCTAGAGTTTTCTTTTAATTATTTCTCTTAATCAATTATTTTCTGCAGTTAATTTATTTAGTTAGCATTCAATCCAAAACCCCCCACACTTTGGATTCTAAAAGAAATAAATTATCCCCAATCCCTGTGGATTCGACCCTACTCACTGCTATATACAAAATCTGTATTTTTCTCGAGTAGGTATTTATTATTGTACAGGTTCGGTACCTGTCAATTTTTGGCGCCGTTGGCGGGGACTGGTACCAGATTAATTTGTTTCTTTTTGAGTTCATCTTGTTTTTATTTTATTTTATTTTATTTATTTATTTTTCTCTTTTTTTTTATATAGTTTATGGCTTCTAACACTCCGTATTTTGGTGATAGACTGGATTTTATTTCCGGGGAAGGCGATGAGACTAGTTTTTTTTTTCTAAGTTTGCATATGCAGAGCCACTAAACTCTATTAGAGACAGAATGGCTGCTGCAACCTGTAAAATTTGTTATTCCAGGGATCATTCAACTGGTATGTGCTCTGAATATCAAGATAATCTGAGTGTCCCACTCAATAATTATGGAGATTTTTCACCCTGGTCTCAAACGTGGTATAACCCTAATCCAAACAGGTATGATCAAGGATGGTGGGATAACTCCAGTTATAATTATACAACAGGGCAAATGAATTTTCAGCAGCCAACGAATTTTCAGCAGTATGAGTCTCAAGAATCATCATCTATGTCAGGTATGTCTCTTGAAGAGATAGTTGAATCAATAGCTACTAATACATATCAATTCCAACAGGAGACACAAATGAGAAATGGGATGATGATGGATGCAATGAGTAATCTGGAAGATCAAATATGTCTATTGACGTCCAGAATAAATCGATTGGTTTCTCAATTTGAAGAATTGCCCTCGAAAACCATTGTTGATTCTGAAGAAAATGAGAGTGCAATTTGCTTGACTAGTGATGAGGAGATGCAAGAGTGTCAAAACGAGAGATCTACAGATGCAGTTGAAAAAGAAGCCGAAAAGGAAGAAATGGAACCCCAACCGCAACCCATTCAAGTGAAAGAATCCAGTGAAGAATCATCAAATGTGGTGACACCACCTCCATTCCCTAACCCGCATTTTCTTACATCTTACTCTATGGTTTCTGTTAATGAGATTGATTTTGTTATACCGGAAGTTCTTGAGTCTCATGGTAGGAATGAGTTAAGAGTTGCTATGGTCAAATATCTTGAACCGTTGAATGCTCTTGATGGAGGAGTGGATGAAGATTTCCGATCAATGCTTGATTATTTGGCGCCATCAACTAGTCCATGGAAAATCGTAACTGGTGTGCTCAAAGATTACTCCATCTATGAGGATTACCAGGATCATATTGAAGATGAAGCATTGAAACGAGCCACAAGATTTTATGAAAATATTCTTGGACCTGAAAAACCAGGTCGTCTTCGAACTTATGGGGTAGGTGCGACTCCAAATGACGTGTATAGGATGTCAGATAACATGAATACTGGACAAAAGAAAGCATTTGAGGATGCAGTGAATGAGAAAGTGGAAATCATACGTGGTGAACTACGAGAAGAAATGAATTCGAAATTGGCAGAATTTAAGGAGGAGTTGATTGCTCAATTTGAAGCAAGAATGGTTTGGGATAACTATTTGGTTAAATATTATAGTTTTTCTAATTTTTTTATTGCTTTAGTTACTATTGATCTTTGTTCTTCCAGAGGGCATCCACATGTGACTTGGCATCACTCCAAAGAAGAGAAATGAATGCAGCAAAACAATCTCAAATTTCGGACTCATTAGAGGTTGTATATTAATTCATACAATTCGATTTTGCGTTCAAACTCTCTGAAATATCAGCAGCTATGGCCTGATTTTCTTTTCTTCATACTTTGTTGATAATGTAACAGGTTGGTGATAGAATGAACAGGGAAGTTGGAACAAATGATGCTGAAATGTACAAGGAAGTTGGAACAAATGATGCTGAAATAAACAAGTGTGAAATGAATAAAAAAGTTTCTTCAATTGCTGATATTCTTGAGGTATAGTATGCGTACTTTGAGTTGGTCCTTCTATAGAAGACCAATTTTGCTGAGTTCCTTGTTGATATTGAATTGTGCATGACTTCCTTGTTGATGACTATTTGTGCATGAGCTCCTTGTTGATATTTAATTGACTAGTCTTTTGTTATACCATAACCATCATACAAAGAAGAAAAGGAGCAGGACTACTTGCAAACGACTTGCTTGAGGTACTGGAAAAGTTTCTGGAAATAACTCTATTCTGTCAAGTTTTCCATTGAGTATTTGTATGATTGGGAAGACGAGCTGTTTTTGTTAAGATTTAGCCAGCTATTTATGGGACATAATGTAGTAGAAGTGGTCTTAATTTTCAGTGTCTGTGAAAAGGTTGAATTACAAATTCCGTTTCAGTAACTATTGTTATATTAACGTTTTCTTCATGCTTAATGGGCTGGGGTTATATGAGCAGGAGACTAATAGAATACACTTTGCAGCCCTGGACTTGATGGTAAATTGGAAGCATGCAGATTGGGAAATATGAAGATGTTTTTGAGAGATGTATGATGAAGTGTTGTACTTTTGAAGACAAGCACGTTTTGGAATATATGAAACATCTTGTAATTGGAGCGAACAATATTAAATGATAAAGTTTGTAGAATTTGACTAAAACAATGTATGATACTTTATTCTAGTGTATTGTGGAACTATATTTTGTTATAATATTCGATTTTAGGATATTTGAGCATGATAATTATTGTACCATGAAAAAATTGATTTCTGGTCTTTATATTGGTGACTTTTTTGCGATGCAAGTTTTTGTCGCATGACATTGTGGACATTTTGTAGCGCATTTTTTGTGCCGCAAGTAGACTGGTGACACTCAAATTGGCGTCGCAAAGAGTGATGCAAATGCATGCGACATGTTGAAAAATTGTGTCGTTTTCTTTTGTAACGGCTACTTTTGTGACACAATTTAATTCCGTCGCATTTGTGCCGCAAAAAGGTTTTTGCGGCGGTTTTTGGACTTTTTGCAGCATATTTCTGGCATCGTGAAAAGTCAGTTTTCTTGTAGTGATCATAAGAAGAATAATCAATTAGGAGCAAGAATAATTGAATAAAAAATCAAACCTAGTAAAAGTATCAGATGAACATATCCAACTTCATGGACAATTTATATGCAGAAAATGCTTTGTAACATGCACATCAATATTTCCAAGTTTAGTATATAAACAATGTCATTCTATTATAAGGCAGGCAAGCAAATAGGAGATTATAAGGCATTCCCTTTATCAGAGTTAAAATATCAAATACTTTTGTGAAAGTTTTACACTTGAAAAGGAACTATTCATTATAGTTAGGCCAATCATGGTAAAGCTTTCTTTTATGTGGTAGTTTCAACACATTTGTCTAAGCTTATGAAGTACCTGTCCAACTAGCTGCCATAGCAAATCCTGTTATTTCAGCTCTTTCTTACAAGATGTATCACTTTACAGAACAAATCATAAACAACTTTCCTCCTAGAATTGTAGCAAATTGAAAATTCAAAGAGAATTGTTTTGCTCTTAGAAAAATGTCAATATTTGGTTTTCCCCATTTTCTTCTTCAATTCATTTCTCTGTTCACTACAAATTAGGATACATTTTCTTTTTGGTTCTTTTTTGTTTTCTTTCCTTTCCTTTTGTTGTTTTTTGGTCTGTTATGGTTGATATCTTACTTCTCTTATGCTGGAAATTAACTTCTCAGTGTTGTGGACTATCCTTTTGGTAGCCATATTCTGAGCTTCTTCACAAAAAACTTAGATGATTGACATTGACTTAGAATCTGATTATGCTACCAACCACTGGGACAGTCTCAAAGCTTTTACATCCTGACTCTAGGCACCAAATTAAAGTATCCAACTAACCACTGGGAGAGGGTTGGGTTGGGTTGTAAGTGAGAGGTCTTGGGTTCAAGTCCTCTCACTTACAAAAAAAAAAAAAAAAGTATCCAACTAACTTAAGCTAGTAACCAAGCATAAAATCATTTTTTAACTAGCCTACAAGGACAAGTCTCAACACTCGTCAATTGAGTTGGATGTAAAGCATATAAGGCAACATTTAGGCCTTCCTAATGTGCTTGGATGAGCTATTGACTAGTTTACGTTTTCCAACTACAATTTTGCAAAAGAGATAGGTGCAACAAAAGTAGAAATGGTTTCTTAACATTTTTGAAAAATTTTCCAGAATCTTTCCTTCATTTTATCCTTTTTTTTTTTTTTTGGCTTTGGCTTGATGGTCGCAATACTGTAAATACCTATAGACCCAACATACCCATACAGCTATCTATATGTCCAAAGATGCTTAAATGATAGGAACTGGTGCTATTAACCTATATTACTGCAAAGAAAATTCCACTTTGTGGATACTGCTTAGTATAGAACATGCATCCATTTCCTTTGCCTATATTGAGAGTGTATAAATGCGATGCAAATAACCACTAAAGGCCCTATTTTGGTCCAAAAGATAGAGAAAATAGTACCAAACAAGGAAAGTAAATATAGAAATCGCCAGCAGAAGAAACAGTAAAAAAATCTTACCCATAGTAGAAGCTATCATGGTTGAAATGAAGCCTAGTGCACAAGAAAAAGGTAAAGAAATCGCAAGTGCACGAGGTCCCATGTCAGATACCTGCTTAGAAAAGTGAATTATGATGACAATGTGATGCTTTTGAAGAACGAATATTGGAGAGATATATTGCAGAAAGAAGCATATGGAAATGCTAAATTTCTCATTCCACTCATTTTTAATGTATAAAATCGTAAAAGACCAGCACATTTTCTGATGTTTCCAAAAGTCAAACCAGAATATATGCCTTGTTCCCTACCACAGGCACCCTATATCTGGATAAAAAAATCTCATCATTGGATTCTTTTGGATCTTAGGCCCATTACAGGCCAATTACAGGCCATTTTTTTTTTTTATGAAATATTTTTTTATTAAACTCAAAAAAGCACCTGATTTATAAAGAGTCTCACTACCAAAAGACAGCTGATACATCAATGAATGCTAATAGAATGGTACTGTCAGCACTCAGGTAAGGGAAATTTACATGAGTAATAGTTCAAATATATAGAAACGTGCTGCACAACCTTATATGTGTAAACTAGACAGGTTAAAGCAAGGCAATGTTAAGCAGAGAGCAAAGTCATACCAGAAGCTGCTCCAGAAAGCAGAAATATGCTAGCATGCTGATCATGACAAGGATTGGTATGTCTTGCCAGAGCCTATTTGAGGGTGAACAAATAAAATACCAAAATAAGCTCCAGAAAGTTGGGATTTAAAGGCTACAAGAATGTCTCTATTTGTATCAGCAAGTTTTACACGCTGCACGTAAGAACAGACTAGAGCCTGAGTCAATTTGGACTAAATTTTTTCACTGTTGTAAGACCACCAGAAGATTATTTACAAGTATATCATTCCATTACGAAGTTTCCATAAACAACATTGAAGACGTCATCATTCCCGACACCATTTTTCTAGATTCTAGGCCAGCAAGATGTGTAAGCAGCGAGCAAGTTGAGAGAAGGAATAGACATTCTTTTCTTAAAATTTCACTTAATTGTGATCTTGTTCACTTAATTGTAGCTAAAGGTTCTTCTCTTTCATAATACCAATATTGTGAGCGTCTATGGTTGCTCTTTTGGGTTTCTTTCAATCTTGCAGCTCTTTGATGTAACTCTTTCTCAATAAAACTGAAGCACTAGGAAATTCCACCTCCCCGTTCTTTTCTTCTACTTATGAGTCAAAGGTTCTCCCAATTCACTAATTTCACTTTCTGTTTTCCTCGTTTTACTTCCCATTCTATCTTTTCCTTTTTCATATTTCTGTAAATATCAGACTCTTTGGGTATTTAGTCACCTTTTGCTCAGAACCTGTTTTAATCTGTAGCCTTGTGCTTGAGTGTGCATAATCTATTTTCTTCTTTTCTTAGTTGTTTAAAACTTGTTCAAGTAACATTGACGTTAACAAAACAGAAAATGATGACAAAGTTAAGTGCATATTTAGAAAAAGGAAGGAAGGTAAGTGCATATTTTAGTGCAAAACTTGCCTGTAACGAGTCACTTCCATCTGCTGCGCACCTACTGGCGGCCTTCTTACGACATTAGCTGGATTCTGTATTTTCAATAATGTTACTGGAAGATTCTGAACATCCTTCTTGTTGCCTTTAATACTAAACCACTTAATTGCACATTCCTTGTGGGCAAGTGCAAGCTCTCCTTTGCAACTGCACTCCATTTTAAATGTTTCACCGCCTTCTCCAAGTTCGACCAAACATATCCTACACACTGCCTCTTCTTCTGGTATATCTTCTGCAGCATCATCACATGCTGTACAGAAGAAAATAATTGTAACTAGAACCAAACTTTTTTGAGAAATTAACAAAAAGAAAAGGAAAGATAGATGGAAGTAGACTAAAATTTCTTGTCTTCCTTAGTTTTGGAAAGACAGATTGCTGTCATTTCATTGTACAGTGTCATTTGAAAATTAACTCAGTCATATGAATATTCAAAATTCACTATATCATCTTTTCAGTTTTTTAAGGCAACAACATTCGTTGAGTTCACTTGGCTGAACAGAGGTACAAGCGGCTTCATGCATTAAAAAAAAAATATGTGATGGTAATTATTGGATGCAGAGTCAAACAAATTAATCAAAGGGCATAGTCTTGAAACTTCATGAGACAACAGTCACGATACTAATGGAATTCATGAAGAATACCAAACAATTAGAAATATCTTGTTTCTGAATTCTTAACAAAAACGTCAGCCTATACATAGGGTCTGAATAATATTTACCTGTTTCTATCTCTGTAGCATTGTCTACTACATTTTTCTCATCTGTTCTAGGCCGAGGGGTTGCTGATATTACACGAACCAAACATCCTGAAGAATCTGTCCGTCTTAGGCTTTTAACTTTAACATTTACGGGAACTGAGAATGAGCGTTGCATTTGCTGCTCAACCTCATGCTTCTGTCAGAGGTAGACTAACTTTTTTTTTTTTTTTTTTTTTTTGGGGCAAAGCCCCAAATTGGGGTAGGGATGCCATCCCCTAATTTATTTATACCGAAAAGAAAAAAGAAAAAAACAAATTAGAGGGGGGCCAAACCTGACCTCTGTTGAAGTAAAGAGGTAGACTAACTTAAGCATAGAGTAACAAGCACAGAAAAAGAGTCTAGAACATGAAGTAAATAAGTAAAGAGACTTACAGGTAAATAAGTGTGGCCATTTAAGTTACTTTCCTCTACTTCATAGGTACTTGCATCTGTCATCGGAGTAACTGGCAAAGAATGTGTTGATGTTGTCGCTGAAGAGAACAAAATTTTGTTGAGAGAAAATGACCTGGAGGTAGAAGGCCTGTTTGAAGGCTTATCAGAAGGTGGAGTATCGGGAGCTATGAGAACTGTTTTCTCACCATCATGGGAAAGGTTCTTTCCCTTGGAGCTTTTCTGTGGAAGAAGATTTTTCATGGATGACATAAATTTTGCTGAGCTTGGTCTAGGAGGTAACCCATTCCTCGTAGAACTTGGACTAGGAATGTCAATTCGTGCAAAACTAGACAATGTGTTTTCCAAGGACCTCACAGGTACTTGCAAAGAAGAAAGGTTTGGACGTTTTGGATGTTGCATTAAGGTGCCCTCTTGTCCTTCTTCATTCTGAATTACAAGAACAAGCATATTTTGGAATCCTTGATATTTAAATGACAAATGAAAAATATTATCAATGCAATCAGTAAAAAATACGACCACAACTTCCTTGGAGTCAAAATATAAATGTTTGGTTAACAATTTAACTGAGAAAATTATGAACTGGTCTTAGCTTTTTTTTAAAAAAAGTTTTTACGTACATGTAGCACTGACAATAACAAGCCTGGTAAATCGATCAGGTCAGACAAGTGCTAAGGGCACTGAATTTTCCTTCAAACTGTTCTACAAGATTCTGGAGTTGTAGGATTTCTCATCACCCGGCCATAAAATAAACCTCAACTAATCACACACTGGCATCAAAGTTCCATCCAAATTGTACCCTTGAAGTTATATCCATAAAGCAGAAATTTCTCCAACAATTAATTTAAATGTCAATGTGATGTCTGAAATACATACCACGAAGAGAAACAGTATCATACATTTATTTGTTGACACTAATGAATCACACTGTATTTTTTCAACTATAAGCCCGACAACCTCTATGAATGCTGTCTTATCAGCATATAAGCTTGAAACTCAAAAGATGTTTCTTCTCATGATCAAGTTAGTTTCTTTTCACTTTTTTACTTTCACATGAAACTTTCTCTGTTTCTCTTCTTCTCAGACACCTTCTTGAGATCCCCCTCTCTTCAGCAGCATTCACCCACGAAGAGAAACAGTATCATACATTTATTTGGTGACACTAATGAATCACACTGTATTTTTCCAACTATAAGCCCGACAACCTCTATGAATGCTGTCTTATCAGCATATAAGCTTGAAACTCAAAAGATGTTTCTTCTCATGATCAAGTTAGTTTCTTTTCACTTTTTTACTTTCACATGAAATTTTCTCTGTTTCTCTTCTTCTCAGACACCTTCTTGAGATCCTCCTCTCTTCAGCAGCATTCACCCACTATCCTCATTTCCATTATACTACATGACAATTAGTTTATTTCTTCTGAATTGTTGAAGGAAATTGAAATCACATATAAGATTGAGATTGTACATTGCCAAACAAACAAGCATTCACTTTTGCTATCAAGAACTCCATTTTTTTTTGGGTGTTTTCTGAGCTTCACATTTCAAACATAGCTAAAAAAACAGTCCTAAGATTAACTAGAACATCATATAACCAAGACATGATTAAACACAAAAACCAATTCTTCTGGCAAAAATAAGGAGTATAATTACAGACTTGCCACATTGAAAACAGAGAAACTGCCTTTTTTTTCATCCACCAATAAAGAGCAATATATCCATACACAGTACACTCACAGATTCAGACAAGAAGAATTTCAAAGAAAAAAAAGTTGAAATTTCCTTTAACCATTTTAAAATGATGAGGCTGAGACACATCTTCATCTTGCATTGATTGAGGTTGATGAGTTGATTGATTCACCAATTCAGCAACAATCGCCCCACTTCCAGATTTCTCATCCATACTGATCAATAACTGAAATTCCCAGTTTTTTCTTTTCTCTTTTCTTTATAAATTCAATTCACACTTTTAAGCAGTAATCCTGAAAACCCAGAAAAACCCATTTCAATATAAACGAAACTGGCAATTCCAAAACCAATTCTATTGAGGAAATTGCAGAAATTAGTGCAGCAATTTATGGAATGATGCTTTAGGAAATTGCAGAAATTAGTGCAGCATTTTACGGTATGTAATTTTTGGTAGTTTACTATTGTATAGGAAATCTTTCTTTGTACAGATATAGAAATTATATAGGTAGGTTCCTTATCTCTGTAGTTTACTAATTGTATAGGAAATCTTTCTTTGCACAGATATAGAAATTATATAGGTAGGTTCCTTATCTCTATATATAAATACACCTTTGTGGTCAATGAGAACATCAGGGCTTTTTTGATCCCAGTATCTCTGTCTTCTTCATGGTATCAGAGCCATGCCTCCCAAAGACGAAGGAAATTCTGGTTTAGATAAGAAAACTTCCAGCCCTTACACTCTAAGCCCCAACGACAATCCAGGCAACATAATTACTCAGGTGCAGTTGAAGGGAGAAAATTATGAAGAGTGGGCACGGGCAGTGCGGACTGCATTGAGGGCCAAAAAGAAGTATGGTTTCATTGATGGAACTGTGGAACAACCGGTAGATGATTCGCCGGAAATTGAAGATTGGTGGACAGTTAATTCCATGCTGGTTTCATGGGTATTTAACACCATTGAACCCTCTTTACGTTCAACTATTTCTCTTGTGGACAATATTGGAGATTTATGGGAGGACATAAGGCAGCGCTTCTCAATTGGGAATGGACCAAGAGTCCAGCAATTGCGATCGGACTTGACGAACTACAAGCTGGAGGGACAAACCATAGTCAATTACTATGGACAGCTTAAAATCATATGGGATGAACTGAATAATTACGACAAAACACCATTGTGTAGTTGTGGTGGATGCAAGTGCAATCTCACAACTGAACTGGAAAAGAAAAGGGAGGAAGAAAGAGTTCATCAATTTTTGATGGGCTTGGATGAAGAACGCTATGGTACTGTGCGTGCTAATATTTTGAGCACAGGGCCATTACCCAATCTGAATAGGGTATATGCAATGGTCGTTCAGCAAGAACGAGTAAGGACAATGTCACGAACAAGGGAAGAGAAAGGTAACCCCATGAGCTTTGCAGTTCAGGTTGGTGGACGAAATTTGGGGGGGGAGGGACAAAACTGCAGTATGCTCACATTGCAATCGTGAGGGACACGATTCAAGTACCTGCTTTCAGCTGATAGGGTATCCAGATTGGTGGGGAAATAGACCTCGTTCCAGTACTCCAGGACGAGGAAGTGGGCGTAAGCGCAATGGTGGTGGAGGCCGTGACAGGGGTGGTGTACCACGAGCAAATGTCACTGATAGGTTGCAATTTTATCATTTATTTTATTATTAATTTCCCCTATTACCTGACTTGATGTGGATTAATTATTGGATTCTGCTCACTTTTCATAATTTGTATTTATTCCAGGGAGTAGATCGAAAATACCATAACAAGAGCCAATTTGACAGAAAAGGAGGTTCAGTAGCTGTCCGTAGTTCAGGGGCATTTTAGGAATAAAAAAGACGCGAGCCCTTCGTTGGGTAATTTGGGCCGAAGCCTTCTTTCCTCCGGAGAGCGCCGCACAAAGGAAAAATAAAAGGAGAAGGAGGAACACAGGACTGGGCGTTCTTTCCCTTAGGGGCTAGAGCCGCCGCACACAGTAGCCATTAGAATAGGAGCAATTGATATATGGCAGAGAATGAGCACTAGCACCAGGGAGTTGCTTTTGTTGACTTTTCTTCCTTTTTAGTTCTTAGTAGTTGTTTTACCTTCCTCGTACGTAGGACCTTTAGCATAGTTTTCCTTTTGACTTTTCCCTTGAGTCTTGGGTGGATGTCTCCTGCGCATGTCAGGAGCAATTGAAGGTCTTGGTCACTTTCTGTATTCTTCCATCAACTGAGCGAACTGAGCTCCCTTGGTCAAGGACAATGGCTGCGGCTTCCTCTCCAACTTTGCGTGGGATTTGTTCACCAGGAATGAACTAATTTTTCTTTTCTAGTCAAGGAACAACGGAGGTCCTGGTTGGCCTAAATTTGTGAGATCGATTTAATTTTATCTTTTTCTTTTATTTATTGGTATTTGCATATTCTTTGATTGCAGTGTTTATGGTTATTTAATTAATTGATTGTCTTGGATCCGGATAATTAATCAATTTAATAATCTATTGTCAATTGAGGTATTGAATCCGTAATTGCTTAATTGCCTCAAAATAGTGACAACTGGCATAATTAGACTTGTGTCAGGGGAATACGCGAGCTAATCTAAAATAATCCTGGTAGTGCGTTATTTGATTAGAATAGGGCTCCTCTAATACGTAAGGCAATTGGAGAATTAAATTCTATGGGCATACCTAGGATTATTTCTCAATTAGAGCAGTGATTAATGGACGTACCTTAATCATCGACACAGTAAGGAGGGGTTGATTGTCATCGATTGTTTGGCAGTTATAACCTATTTATTAGTAAATAATTGGAATTGCCTTTGCTTATCGATGATCAATTAGGTGAACCATTGCTGAAGTTATTCCTTGGCTAGATTCTTTGATTTTAGTAAATTGTTATTTAATTTCTAGTTGGCTATTTTATTTTTATTATTTTACTTTTAGTTGGATTGCTTAAATTGTTACCCCTAAGATAAAAACACCCCCTTTGTCACTGTGAATTTGAAAAGGAACAATTACTCCCAGTCCCTGTGGATTCGACCCTGCTTACCACTATCTACAGAAATTAATTTTAGTTTGAGCAGGTTTTATTATTGCACAGGTTTCGACAACCTGTCAATTTTTGGCGCCGTTGCCGGGGACTGGTGTCAGATTAATTTGTTTCTTTTTGAGTTCACCTTGTTTTCATTTTTAATTTATTTTTCTCTTATTTATTTTTTATTTTTTTTATGGCTGCTAACATTCCATATTTTGATGATAGACTGGACTTTATTCCTGAATGGGGTTATGAGACTCATGTTTTTCCTAATGATCAATGGGCTGTTGCAAATTGTGAAACTTATTTTGATTCAGATTATTCAACTGACACATGCCCCGCATTTCAAGATAATCTAAGTGCTCCAATTGATACTTTTGGAGATTTTTCACCCCAATATCAAACGCAGTATGACCCTTATTCAAACGGGTATGATCAAGGATGGTGGGATAATTCCAATTTTGATTATGCGACCGGGTCAATGGATTTTCAACAGCAAGAGTCTCAACAACCATCGTCCATGTCAGGTATGTCTTTTCAGGAATTGGGTGAATTATTTATTAATACATACCAATTCCAACAGGAGACACAAATGAGGAATGAGATGATGAAGGATGCAATGAATTATCTGGCAGATCAACTATGTCTATTGACATCCAGAATAAATCGATTGGCTTCTCAAATGGAAGAATTGCCCTCGAAAACCATTGTTGATCTAGAAGAAAATGAGAGTGCAATTTGC